ACCACTGGTATAAAGTAGAGCATGTTTTGTTACTTAAATGCATAAGAATGCACTGATAAAACTCTAAAGAGCATACACTAGATTCAATCTAACATCCCTGGGTAGAAGAGTCTGGGATGGTAACATCAGGGACTTTTCACCTTTTCTTTATTTTCTACATTGTTTAAAATTTTACAGTGTGAATGTACTTATTTCCTACCTATAAAATTATTTCTTTTTATTATGTTTTATTTTTATTCTTTTCATTTTATTTTTATTCTTTTTATTTTGTTTTTGGGCTGGAGTGATAGCACAGTGAGTACGGTGTTTGCCTTGCATGCAACTGATCCAGGTTTGATTCCTCCATCCCTCTCACGGTGGGAGAGCCTGGCAAGCTACCAAGAATATCCTATTCACATGCAGAGCCTGGCAAGCTTCCCATGGCATATTCGATATGCCAAAAACAGTAAAAACAAATCTCACAATAAAGATGTTACTTGTGCCCGCTCAAGCAAATCAATGAACAACAGGAGGACAGTGCTACAGTGCTATTTTGTTTTGGGGTCACACCTGACTGTGCTCAGGGCTTACTTCCAGCTCTGTGCTCAGGGGCCACTTGTGGCAGAACTTGGAAGAACATACAGGGTTCCAGGGATTGGATTCAGGTCGGCTGAGTGCAAGTCAAGTGCCTTACTGGCAATACTATCTCTCTGGGCCCTAAATTACTTCTTGAATGAATAGTTCAGTTTATAATTAATTCCTTAATAAATAAATAAGCATGAAAGAACAAAAGAACATGGACTTTAAAGTTTGAACAAAATGTTACTTCAATAAACTTGCTTAAATCCCACGAGCCTGTATCCTCCTCAATAAAATGAGGGTAGATTGTTGTGAAGATTAAATTAGTTAAAGCCTGCTCAATGTGCAGCTGAGTTCCTGGTACATAACAATATCAGTAATATTTTATTTCTCTTCCATTTGACCCATGGGAACCTCAAGCATCAAGAATCTACCTCAACTGCCTGTATATACCCTAAAAGCAATGGAAACAAATAAAAGCTCAATTATGTTTTTTGAAAGAACGAATGAACAAGTCACATTTGTTCATCATTAATGGATAAACATATGTTCACATATGTTTATTGTTAATGGGTAAATAAGAGATGGCTTTCTGGCTTCCACTCAGAAGATCAAATGTTTCTGGTTTGTGAGAACAATAAATCAAAGAAAAACCAGAGATCTGTGCCAGAGGGATAAGTGTTTTTAAGACGGAAAACTCATCACTTCGATCTTACTTTATCCAGCTATCTTATTCAGAGCCCCAGGCTCCACAAAGTGATGGAGCTGCCAGTAGGAAAGGGAGGGAAGCACCTGGAAAGTGGTGCAGTGGTGATAGAAAGTCCATCTGGGAACCTAGACTCCAGACTGAGAAACTCTAGTTTCCCAGCTGATAATGCCTTAATTGTATTTTTACATGAACAGACATATATCAGTGACAAAAAAACTCTGGCCCCCAAACTTTGTGGTGACTCAAAACCACAAACTCAGCATTCAGCAGTCCAGACCTTTAGGTCTTGGCCAATCATGAGGTGCAGAACTTCTCTTAGTTTCTATCATTCCTGCCTCCCCTACTTGCAACTCAAGGTTAATTAGAAAAAGTCAAAAGTGTTCTACAAACCAGTCCATAGATCCTCCACTTTTAGATAACTGTTTTCCAGCTCTCCATTCCTACAACATTGACTCCGAAGGCCCTGCAGGGCGAGGGTTGTAGATGCTCAATGGTAGAGCACATGCATTGTCTTATAGGTATAAGGTCCTGAGTGCCCAGGACCACATGCTGCTCCCCAAAAGAACCGCTGAGCATGGCTGTGGTGACTCCTGAATATAGCCAGAGTGGCTCCCATAACACCAAGTTTAGAATATATATATATGTATATATATACATATACATATGTAAAAAGTATCAGCAACCTCCCCTTCTTTTTAAGTATAAAACTTTCCTACTTCTGTCTTTGAGTCTCTGTCAAATACTAGTGATGCCAACTGACTCCATCACTACATAGAAAGCTCTGGAATAAATTGCCTGTATCTGTTCTCATCTCAGTGGTCTTTTTTGTCTCCATAAAGGCCTTCTCTCACATTTAAACTAGACATTGGATGTTATAAACTAACAAACAAACACTGTCCTCCCGTTGTTCATGGATTTGCTTGAGCAGGCCCAGTAATGTCTCCATTTTGAGACTTGTTGTTAGTGTGTTTGGCATATTGAATATATCACGGGTAGCTTGCCAGGCTTTGCCATGTGGGCGAGATACTCTCGGTAGTTTTCCGGGCTCTCTGAGAGGTGTGGAGGAATCGAACCCGGCTTGGCCAGGCTGGCTGTGCGCAAGGCAATTGTCCTACCGCTGTGCTATTGCTCATGTCATAGGTTGAATTTATATGTTTTCATTAAAAATAGTATACTGTTACACTTTTGTTATTGTTTTGTTTTGGGGGCCACAGCTGGCAGTGTTCAGGTGTTACTTCTAACAGAGTGCTGAGGGTCACAGCAGGTGGTGTTCAGGGGACCATGAGGTGCAGAAGATCAAAGCCTGCCCTACTGCATGTAAAGCATGTGCACTAGCCCTCTGCGTTCTCCTTGACCCTTCTCCCCAGGCTAATCAATTGTTAATTACCACTGCAGATTAATGCCAGGAATCAAACTTCCCAAGAAATCTGAGGCTGCTCAACTTATATTAAGATAACAAAGAAATAATATCCAGAGAGGTGGTAGCAAAATAAAGCCAGACAAATAAAGGATTGGGTCTGGAAAATAGAGGTTTCCAAACATTTGTATGAGCTTTGTTTCACAAGCTAGGCACCACACATCCAGAAACTGCAGGAACTGGAATGCTTAACTAGAATGTCTCCTTATCAACTTCTATACAGATGTAGGCTAGAGTCAAACCCATTATAGTACTGTTGATATATCTGTGGGCAGAATTGCAGACAAATAAAGAAGATACATAAATAAAGTCTTAAGGGTATTCTGCAGTAAAGGAAAATTGTTGGGAAGATGGTTCCAGCTTCTCCCTGCATGGAAAAATGGCTTGGAATCCCCTCAGCTACTTATGCCTGTTTACTTGCCTGAAATCTTAAAATTCTGAGTCTCTCTTTAAACAGTCTTTAAATCTATGTTTTTATGTTTTTCAACTGGTAAATATTAAAAAGCATGTCAGCAAAAAAGAAACTCTGCATTCAAATAAATTTGGGAAAAGTTGTCTGAAACCAAGTTAAAGAAATCTCATTTTAGCAGGTCTTTGCAAAGCCTTCCATAAGTTAATTCTTATTATGAAAACGAAGATGGTGTAGATGGGATTTCCCAAATCTTTTTAACCATAAAAACCAGTTTCCTCCACAACTCTTTACCCCTGAGCACCATTCTATATCATGCAATTCTGTAGATACAGATTTGAGATACCTTTGAGGAATACTGTTGGCTGGTCAAAACCTTTTATCAATTATTATAACTCACCAAAGAGAGGGACCAGAAACCAAATAGCAAAGGGCCCAAGAGGATGCTATATATTTTTAATTTTTTATGTTTTGGGGCCACACCTAGCAATCACTGTATCACTGTCATCCTGTTGATCGTTGAATTACTCAAGTGTGCGCCAGTAACATCTCTATTCCTCCCAGCCCTTAGATTTTAGCAGTCTCTTCTTACTCGTCTTTTCCCAATGATTGGAGGCTCTTTCAAGGTCAGAAGAATGAGACCTGTTGTCACTACTATATTTAGCATATTGAATATGCCACAGGGAGCTTGCGAGGCTCTGCCCTTGTGGGCGGGATACTCTCGGTAGCTTGCTGGGCTCACCGAGAGGCATATATTTATATTTTTTCTTTATGATTTGTTGCCTACTGTCTGAACCCCATCAGATATAGTGTAGTAATAGTGGGAAATGGGTAGGAAGTGTCTTATAATGTGTCGGGAAAGCAGCCTGGAGTGTGGTGGTGGTTGAGTAGTGGAGGTTGGCTGTTGTGGCTGGGTCCCTTGGAGCCAGGAGGGCTCTCAACCACCCCACACCTGGCGCAGAGTCCGGTGGCATAGTTCTGGGAGCCTCATTTTGTACTCTCATCTGGGAGGAGCATCCTGAGTTCTGGAGGGTGGCTAATGAGATTATCTAGTGCTGGTAAGATTTGGTTTATGGTTGTGATCCCTGAGTCACTGGAGACTGGGGGAAGCAGGCAGAGGATCTCTGTTCCAGAGTCCCGTTAAGTCCAGAGTCCAAGGTCACGAAGTTCCGCATTATCTGGGTTTCGTGGGACTTCATTCATGTGTGAGGCTTGCATGAATAGCAATATTCATGGGTTATTCCTGGCTCTGTGCTCAGGAACTAATCTTGGCATTCTCTAATCCCAAGAGGGCACTATTTTTCTTTTTGTGGGGGAGGGGAGTTCATATTTGTCAAATGCACAGGCGTTACTCCTTGCTCTGCACTCAGGAATTACTTCTGGCAGTGCTCGGGAGACCATATGGGATGCTGGGAATCTAATCCAGGTCGAGAGCATGCAAGGCAAATGTCCTACCTGTTGTACTATCACTCCAGCCCCAAGAGGGCACTTTGATGGAGGAAGGACAATAGGACCATGAAGCAGAGTCCAGGGATAATGGAGATTATAGTTAGGGCTCAGGTAAACATTGCACAGATACTGGATGTTAAATTCCAGATGGAGAACAGTAAAAATCACCCTAACTTGGTTCATAACTTTTCTTTACCAGTCCCAGTATCAATATCTCTAGGACACTGAGAGTAGCCCAGAAAGTCACCTTATTAGCTGAAAACTGAGACTCAGGCACAGAATTCTCTTTGCAGCCTATCAACAAGGACCACAGTCCCATTTTAGAAAGTCAAGATACCTGAGGGCCAAGAAATGATGCAACTGATTTGATGCCCCCACAAAGCCACTTTCCTCTCTGCAACCACACCATGACCATGGGGAAGGGGAACGAAGAGTTATCAGCACCCACGTTCACTTACTTGAGGATCACACAGCCTGTTCCTGCTGGCGGCGCGATCCAAAACACCTGGATCCGTGTCCTCCTCCGAGGGGTGCTCTCTGTGACTGCTACAGGGCAGTTGCTCATAAATTGGGTTTCTTCTTCATCTATGATCTAAGACAAACCAAAGAAAAATATCCACCTTGAAACACAATGTCACTTGGGGAAGACTCAAGTTTCCAAGTTCATACTTCCTTAATTTTATTTTTAAACTTGTCGTTTTGTGTTAGCAGTTCTATGTCCTCAGACACTAGAATAATGCCTGGCATCAACTCCCAGTTTAATACTTGTTGAATTAACACGAAGGCAAGAATTTGGCTCATGTTTCCCCTCTGTTCTCTGGAACAGGATCTGGTGTCAGCACTTTGAAGAACAGGCTACTAGGTGATAATTTGCTCATTTTTCTGGGACAATCTGTGTGCCATTTCAGAAAAGAATTAGGGAGCGAAAATCCAAAACAAACAAAACAAACGGTAGAGCTAGATTTTAAATGGAAAAAAAAGAAGTAAATACACTTCTGAAGAAAGCAGACCAAAATACATAAAATATCTCTATTTCACAGCCCTGTTTACCCTCACAATTTAACTTTTCTAATTTGTGTATTTTACTGGTATTCTCCCAAGTTAACCATCAAGTTTCCTATTATACTGCAAAAAAGAAAAAGAAAGAGAAAAGGGGTAGCCATTCCCATTCCCCGAGGCTGTTTCAGCATTTTTTTTCTTACTTGCTTCAGGGTAGGCTGCCAGTACTTTCTTATTCCCTTACAGGAGCTATTTAAATTGTAAGACTCTGTGAGATTGGGGGTGGGAAGGGAGGGGGATAGAGAATTATCCTAATGCAATGGGTCCAAAGTAGAAACTCCAATAGTTTAGTAGTTGTATCATGAGTAGTGTTAATAGTAGTTACTATGTGACATTTATTAAGTGTTTAGCATAGGCCTAGCACTAAGTTAAATCCATTTTCTGAATTACTTAAATCTTCAAATACAATTTAATGAGATCACCATAACTTTTAAAAATTGCCTTCTTTTAAAAATAACACAACTGTCACAAAACTCTTCAGTTTATCATGTTTTCATTATTAGACAAAGAAAAGGCAATCTTCTAATATATTTTATCTCTGTCTTCTTTGTGCTACTTCTATTTTCTTTCCTACTAGTACCTACTATTTAAGTCCTTCTAAAATCACAATATAAATCCCATGAAATGATATAAAATTGTTTTCTATTTTAATGTTTTTACATTTAATCTTATCTTTTGAAAATGTTAAGATTAGGGGTTGGAGTGATAGTAAAGAGGGTAAGGAGTTTGCCTGCACATAGCTTACCCAAGTTCAATCCCCAGCACCCCACATGGTCCTCTGAGCACCACTATGAGTAGATCCCTGAGTGGATATCCAGGAGCAAACCCTGAGCAGCACTGGGCGTTAGTTACCCCACGACAACAAAAACCAAAACCTTAAAGTATGTTAATATTATTACAGATGGTTCCCTTAAATAGTCCTATTTATTTATTTATTTATTTATTTAACATTATAATGGTACAAAAGAGACAGGTATTCAGTGGCAACTGTACTTTGAATTTGTTGCACCTGGGTCAGGAATATGTGATATGACTTTCTCTTATAATGCCGAATTATGGCAGTAAGCTGAAGTTCCAGTCAGTCATGTGTTACCATGGCATAAACAACCAATACTTTACATGTTCCATGCAACCTATGGTTCTTACTTGGTATCTGATAAACCTTATGATAAGTGGAGGAAGATATAGATAGATATAGATATAGATAGATAGATAGATAGATAGATAGATAGATAGAGTTTAATTTATTACTTATGATTACTGCCAACTATTCTACTGCATGCACAGATCTTGTTTTACTTATCCACACTCCCAATGAGGGACATTTAGCTGACTAACAGCTCTTTACTCCACAAATATTCCTTCAGTGAATATCCTCATGATACTTGACTTATGAGTACACATGAGAGTTCCTCAGCAATATAAAAACCATGTAATGGGATTGCTAGGTTGCTGGATTGTGGATATAATCATATTAATTTCAATAAGTACTGCCAGATTTTCTGCAGAATGGCTACACCAACTTTTATTTTATTAGCTATGCACAAGGGTTCCTATTTCCACATGTCCTCACCAGTATTTGAGAGATTTTTAAAAATATTTCCAAACTGGTGAATACAAACTAGTATCTTGTTTTACTTTAGTACCAGCACCTTTGCACATCTCTTAATAAATTTATCAGACTTCATCTTCTGTGAATTGCTACCTCAGCATGTTGGTCAATAATTTTTTCTTTTTATTGTTGATTTCTAAGAGTTTCTAGACTCTTTTTTAGGAGTTTCAATTTACAATATCTTTAAAATTCTTCATTTAACATAAATAAATTTCATCTAGTTATATTCATCTGGCTGGAGCAATAGCACAGCAGTAGGACGTTTACCTTGCATGCAACCAGCCCGGCCAACCCGGGTTTGATTCCTCCGCCCCTCTCGGAGAGCCTGGTAAGCTACTGAGAGTATCTTGCCCGCTCAGCAAAGCCTAGCAAGCTACCCGTGACGTATTCGATATGCCAAACACAGTAACAACAAGTCTCACAATGGACACGTTACTGGGCTCACTCGAGCAACTCGATGAACAATGGGAGGACAGTGAGTTATATTCAACAAGATTTTTCCTAAGGCCTGTATTTTTGTGGTGTGGTCTTACCTAAAAAGCTAAAATCCCAAAGATGCTTTCCAGAATTTTCTTCTATTAGTTTTATCATTTCCCCTTCCACGTTCATTTCTTCTACCCAATCTATATTCTCCATGCTATGAGCTTTTTAAAAAAAATGATAAATAATATTTTAGAGCAGTTTTTAGTTCATAGCAAAATTGAGCAGAAATTCTATAAGTTCCCACATTTACTTTTTCTTGTGTTATTACATTAGATAGGACTTAAATTACAATTTTGAAAATTACTGGAGAAAGGTGACATCATTCCTTTATATTAGTACTGTAGCACTGTCCTCCCGTTGTTCATCAATTTGCTCGAGCAGGCACCAGTATCATCTCTAATGTGAGATTTGTTGTTACTGTTTATGGCATATCGAATATCCCACAGGGAGCTTGCCAGGCTCTCTGAGAGGGATGGAGGAATCGAACCCGGGTCGACCATGTGCAAGGCAAATGCCTTACCTGCTGTGCTATTGCTTACACTTGGTTATGGTGTACATTTTCATGCATTGTTGGATTTGATTTGCTAATGTTTTAAAATTTTTTATTAGTGAGACACCATGAGGTACAGTTGTAGACTTACAAATTTTTGTGCTTAGGTTTCAATTATACAGTTATCAAATACCCATCCCTCCACCAGTGCCTATTTCCTACCACCACGGATCCCAGTATCTCTCCTATCCCCCATCCCCCCCCATCCCACCCTACCTCTGTGGCAGGGCCTTCCCTTTTGTTCTCTCTCTCCTTTTGGGTGTTGTGGTTTGCAAAAGAGGCATTGAGTGGCAATCATGTTTGGTATATAGTCTACTTTCAGCATGCATCTCCCATCCTGGGAGGATCCTCCCAACATCCTTTATTTGGTGCTCCCTTCTCTATCTGAGCTCCCTTTTCCCCTAGCCTCCAAGCCATGGAGCAACCTCCTCGTACTAATCCCGGCCACTCTTGGGTGTTAGTTTTCTATTTTGTTACTTTATGTTCCCCAGATGAATGATTTGCTAGTATTTTTGTTGAAATATTTTGCATCTTTGTTTATGAGGGATATGAATCCGAGATGTTGTCTTCCTGCAATGTCTTTGATTTTGGCTTTAGAGTGAAATTATCTACAAAGAATGAATTGATGACTAGAAAACTGGTACAAATTATTATTTAGAAGAAGATCTTGTGTTATATTTAAAAAAGATATTAATCCTTAACTCAATTTCTTTAATAAGTGCAAGTCTGATATTAGGTTGTCTAGTACTTATGAAGGTTTTGGCAAATTGTATTTTAAAATAAACTGGTTTATTTCATCTAGGTTATCACATGTGTGGGCATCAAGTAGCTCATGGTACTTCTTTATCCTTTCTTTAGCATCCATTGGTTCTGTAGTGATATCCCTTCTTTTGTTATTGATATTAGTAATTTGTGTCCTTTCTCAATTTGGGGGGGGGGGTTATCCTGGTTGGGAATACCAATTTTATTCATCTTTTCTATTTTTTTCTCAAGTTATGTATTTATTTTTTACAGTAGTCTTTATACTCAGGCTTTGGGTATACAAAAAATTACTGCCTCTTACTATATTGAGCCTTTCAAAGAATCAGATTTTAGCTTTATTTATTTCTATTGATTTCTTATATTGAATTATTTATTTATTTATTTATTTATTTATTTTGCTTTTTGGGTCACACCCGGTGATGCTCAGGGGTTACTCCTGGCTCATGCACTCAGGAATTGCTCCTGGCAGTGTTCAGGGGGCCATATGAAATGCTGGGAATCGAACCTGTGTTGGCCATGTTGGCTGCGTGCAAGGCAAACGCCTTACCCGCTGTGCTATCGCTCCAGCCCGAATTTTTTATTTTTCTGAACAAATTTCTATTTTTTTCTTCTGCTTATTTTGGATTCAATTTTCTTATCTTTTCTAATTTACTGAAATAGAATTTTAGAAAACCTCATTGACATTATTTATTTTAAATATTTTTTATAATATCCTCATGCTATATTTTTCTTTGGGTTGGAGCACAGCAGGTAGGGCGTTTGCCTTGCACACAGCCGACCTGGCCGACCCATATGATTCCTCCACCCCTCTCGGAGAGGCTGGCAAGCTACTGAGAGTATCTCGCCCGCACAGCAAAGCCTGGCAAGCTACCTGTGATGTATTTGATATGCCAAACACAGTAACAAGTATCACAATGGAGACGTTACTGGGCCCGCTTGAGCAAATTGATGAACAACGGGAGGACAGTGACAGATATTTTTCTTTATTCACAGCTTTTGATATATACCACCAATTTTGATAAGTTGTGTTGTCACTCGGGGAAAAGGGAGCTCAGATAGAGAAGGGAGCACCAAATAAAGGGTGTTGGGAGGATCCTCCCAGGATGGGAGAAGCATGCTGAATGTA